AACAAACCTTCTTATATTTTACTATTTTGTTGCAGATAGCTTTAAAATTGTAGTCATATTTCCTCTCAGATTCGTTTTTACATCGAAGAACTGCTAGAATTTATTTTGCGCCAACTATTTTTTTTTCACTACTAACAATTCTATAACATCCGCGTATAAATTGAGCTATATAATTCAACTCTGCTCCTCATAATTTATTGCCCCCAGAATCCGGGTTTCGATACCCGTGGTGGGCAGAGCCCAGATAGCCCATTGTGTAGCTTTGTGCTTAATTATAACCGAACCATAATTAATTATCATTCGTATTTCTTAGATGGCGCTTTATGTTGAAATTGTTGAAAAAAAACGATGGCGGTTTAACTCTCTTTAGACGCACAATGCGAACCCTAAAACAGTTATTTCCTGTCACAGCGATCGCAAGGAGCATAAAAGGATGCTTTTCACACAGTTTCAAGTACTAATAACAAGACGTTCTTAATGCTGTCTATTCAAGAGTTACTTACTGTCTTTTATGATAGTTTGTTTGAAAAAGTATCGAACCTGTAGAAATCTACAATATCTTTGGAGTATAGAAATTATACCAATAGATATTTATTTAATGGTTAATAAAGTTGCATCACAGCCACGGAGTAAGCAAAAAAAATAGATACAAGAAATTCTTAAAGTGGAAACAAAAGCTGTTATCCAGTGTGACAAATTATTTGTATTACATTCTATATTTAAAATTCTAAAATACGCTACTTAAATAATTCATAGTACCAATTCCACTTCGGTGAAACATGAAATATTACAATACGTTTTGTCTTGGTAACTTCGGTATATTCTTATTTTATGATTTCAAACACTTTAAATATAGCTCTATAGATCTATTAACATGATTTATAGCTCAATAATGCAGGCTCTCTATCGTGATCCTCAGGATTTTGGATCCCAGATTGCATTTATCTATAGCATGGTTTACAGCTCAGTAATGCAGGTTTTCTGTTGTGATTTTAAGGATTTGGGATCCTAGATTACACCAGTCTTTAACGTTTCCTACAGCTAAATAATGCAAGTTCTCTGTCGTGTTATTCACCACCAATATTTAGCGTGGTATTCAACAAGTTCTCTGTCGTGTTCTTCAGAACATGGGATCCCATGTTACAGCTGACTTTACCATGGTTTACAAGTTCTCTGTCATGTTATTCAGAATATGGGATCCCAGGTTATAGCTAGCTCTACCATGGTTTACAAGTTCTCTGTCGTGCTCTTCAGAACATGAGATCCCAGCTAGCTTTAGCATGGTTTACAAGTTCTCTGTGGTGTTCTTCAGAACTTGGGATCCCAGCTAGCTCTACATTGGTTTACAAGTTCTCTATCGTGTTCTTCAGAGCATAAAATTCCAGATTACATCAATCTATAGCATGGTCTACAGCTCAATAATACAAAGTTTCTATCGCATTTGTCAATACTGAATTCACAGATTGTATCAATCTTCAGCGTGATCACGTAAAACTAGAGAATATACAAAATATTATCTTATGATATCCAAACTTGAAAATTCTGAGTATCTCATTCTTTAGCGCATCTTACAGAGCTCATTAATGTTTAATATTACTTATCTAATACGATAATACATTTTTAATATTATTACTAAATGTCAGTAGTATAGAGCCTCAAGTTTTTGTCTTGGTTTTGGGGAAAAAACGACAACATTGTTTTCACCTCTTTCGCGAGCTCTAAATTTCAAAATGTTACGTTACATCAGTCTGACATATGATTTCCGAAACTCAAAAATGTTATGTTACATTAGTCTGACATATGATATCCGAAACTCAAAAATGTTATGTTACATTAGTCTGACATATGATATCCGAAACTCAAAAAGATTGGGTTATTGTTCCTTATAGTTATGTTCTGTAATATGCGTCATTAATAAACAGATTCTCCAAAACGAATACATAACGAAAGCATTCCACGTTGTAACCTACACGGCACGGGTTTCCAAAACTCAGTATTACAGCATATAGTTCTCTATTTATTCTGTCTTTTTATTCATTTATTTTTTGAAGAAGAAAAATCATACAGTAGCTTCTGGGGAGTATTTGTAAAGCTCAAAATAATTACCTTTGTTTCTGAATGTGAGAAATCATACAGTAGCTTCTGGGGAGTATTTGTAAAGCTCAACATGATTAGTACTGTTTCTTAAGATGAAACATTCTATAATAGCTTCTTTAGGAGTACTGGTGAAGCTTAATAAAAGATACAAGAAGCTGAGAAGAAAAAAATCATCAAATTTTTGATTCAATGTTTTCTCATGTGTTTTTATTTATTATGGAGAATGAGTATTTTGCATCGCCGTCAATATAACACCCAAGAATATTTTACCGCTAGTGCTTCTCGATATTTAAAGCTCTGTTCAACTGAGTTTAAGAATTAACTCATTTAATTACTGATAATAAAGTATCGAAACTCAATTTTTAGCATTATCATCCCTCAGACTTACTAGTGAAACACTAGGTCCATATTGTAAAAACAATAACATATTTCATCTTTTTAAGTTTCAGCAGTCTAGTAGCCATTTCTCTCATCTTAACTTGAACCTTAGCCGTATGGAAACAGAACGCTTATACGAGACGACCCAAGCCATACGAAAGAATGGAATCATAGCACAAAGAGCAACATATAAAAGGTTAACAAAATAAACTTACGTTACCTAATAAGTGCGATTTAAAAAAAAAGCAAAATTTACGTTTCGACAGAGTAAATGACGTCATCTAATACATACACATTACATAAAGTACAGTAAATAACATTACGCTTCGACAAAGTAACTGACGTCATCTCGTACATATATATTAGGTGAAGTACAATAAATAAAGTTATGTTTCAACGAAGTAACTGACGTCATCTCGTAAATATATATTAGGTGAAGTACAATAAATAAAGTTATGTTTCAACAAAGTAACTGACGTCATATATATTAGGTGAAGTGCAATAAATAAAGTTATGTTTCAACGAAGTAACTGACGTCATCTCGTACATACATATTCGGTGAAGTACAAAAACCCTGCGTTAGTACCCTTGCTGCATGTAACAACATTCGTACCAAGGGGTTGCGCCTCACTCCACGCCAAAAAACAAATTAAGTTTTATAGGAATGTTAATCTATCCTTGTGTGCATTTAAAGTAAACATCGTGTGAACGATTCCATAGAATACTGTTAATTTTTTAATAATTTTCTTGTGTTAATAAAAGAATAATGGGAAATGTCAGATATTGATGCTTGATATCGCTTTATTTACAAGAATTACATGATTAAAAAAGTAAAATTATATTTTATCTAAACATCTTCCTATGAATTGTTTTATACTAAAAACATCATTTGTTGGCCAACATCAATGAAAATGCCTTACATTTAATCTAACCTAACTGCTTACTCAGAATCTTTTATATCTGATACCATTGTTTGACAATAAAAGCACTCTGATCTGAACAGTGTGATCTAACAGTCTTCAAGCTTATCATATTCATTCTCACTATCGTCCTCAGGTTCACTATCACTGGGACAGTCAACCAATATCTGTCTAATTATCTCGCTTTCACTGTCGCCATCCATCTTCAATCTAATAAAAAATAAGAAATTGCCTTCATAAAAACCTAATACTCTCCAAAAAATCTTTACTGAAGCAAATATTGTTTCATATTTGGCATGTATAAGCTCTAAAAACTCTTATTATATCACAAGTGACAGATAATAGGGAGATAGTTAATCCGAGAAAACAGACCTTGGTTTAGTACCGTGGGGTATTTCGCTCCCCAAGCCACAAGAAACCACGCGTTGCTCTCAGCTCAGCTGGGGTAGAAAAATCTTCAGGGTACGACTGTAGGGTAAATAAAGTTACGTTTCAACACAGTAACTGACGTCATCTAGTCCATACATATTACACAAAGTACAATAAATAAAGTTACGTTTCGACAGAGTAACTGACGTCATCTAGTACATACATATTACATAATGTACAATAAATAATGTTACGTTTGGACAGAGTAACTGACGACCTCTAGTACATACATATTTTATAAGGTACAATAAATAGATTTACGTTTCGACAGAGTAATTGATGTCATAAAGAACATAGTATTACATAAAAAATACACTAATATCTCTTTCTTAACTTTTAGGTATCGAATACCTTTCAGTCAAGTTTACGATGAAACAAGAAACTAATGAACATAATCATTTCGAATGTCCTTTTTTCCAAGGTTTATTGTTGGACTCAGCATTAGTTGTTTTTTTTCACAAACCAGCCTGTAGTGATTTTCGGCTTTCTTAGAGATGAATTCAAGAGCCACAAGAGGAAATTTATCTTCTTGAAACTTGATTGTCGAAAGTAAAAACCTTCAGTCGTTCTGTACAAATCATCGTAATTACTCACTTCTAAGCTGTTTTATGCACTCTAGTAAATTTTCTATAATTTCGTATTAAATAATTTATTTTTCTTATTTAAAAATAATTCTGATTATACAGATTTATCTAACGACTTTGTTTAATAATTTCTATAGTATATTCCCTGCTTTATACAAGCCATAAAAATGACAGTCTGTCAATTCGTAAACCAATCATTATATTGATACTACAATAAAATACCATTTGTTCGTTTCCTAGGCATTAAAACAATGTATAATTCTCTGTTCAAGAAATTTTAATAATCATGTTTATCGTGTGGCCTTTAGGCTAAATGTGAACACTTCCCAGTTTTAATAGTGTTTGTTTGTTTTAAAAGTTAAGCACAAAGCTATACAATGGGCTATCTGTGCTCTGCCCCCCACGGGATCGAAACCCGGTTTCTAGAGTTGTAAGTCCGCAGACATACCGCTGTGCCACTGGGGAGGGGCTGTTGTAATAGTGAAGAGAAATGGCAGAAAACTTAGATTTGTGGTTATATCCCCGCAACAGAGAAACATTTAGCACATTGGATAGGATTTTCTTTAAACAAAACAAACGGAAAACGTAGTATACACTGTTTACCTGAACACAGCCATTCTTTGTTTCATAATATTGAACACAAAACCTAAACCCAGCCAGTCGTTCTTCCATAACATACGTGTATATAAAAATAATACTTCCCATAAAACCTGAACATATCCACTCTTTTTTCTCACAACACTGAACATAAAAGCCTGAACAAAATCACCCTTATTCTCACGATATATAACGTAGAAACTTATATACAACTACTCTTGTTCTCACGATATAACATAGAAACTTAAATACAGCTACTCTTATTTCCACGGTATCTTGAATATAAAAAACTGAATACAAGCTTTCACTATACTTAAAACCTAGACGCGAATACTTAAAAACTTCACTTATGAGAAAACAATATTGGTAAAAGAAATAAAAATGCTCTGTACATTTAAGAAATAAAAGTCCAATTTTCTCTACGCTTTTGTCATGATTGATAGAAATTGCTTTTGAATCCTTTCTCAAACGTGTTTAATTTGACGATAGCGTTTAGTTCCTGTCGGTTAATTTACCGAACAGTTGTAACTGTTATCCTTTTATTAAAACTGGATCTCAGCCTTTTTATCCTTTATTTGATTATTCGTTGAAATGGTGCTATTTGTTTGAATAGAAGCAACGTTTACACACACTTTGAAGCTTACTAACACGAACTAACGCCAATACTGTAAATGGGGCAGCCATCTGTACAAACATATATATAACCATATTAGGTAATTGGTGTCATATTAAATCTTTGAGATTTTTAATGCTTTTAATATTATCATTCTTAACAACAAGCCCAATGCGGATTTCTTGTTTAAAAAAATGTAAATAATAGCTTGTAAATAACAGTTTATTTGTTGTATCTCGTTGCCGACGGGTAAATAATGATGGGATTAACATCTTCAATCGCACTGTGATGTAATATTACACCTATTAGTAAAAAAACGTACCGTATATTGCCTTCTTAAGTGTTATATATCATTAAACTTTATAAAGTCCGAGCTTGGCCTGCGTATTAGCATTCCAGGAGCGTGAATCCAAAGATTGTAAGGCTTGTAGAAAACAGAACTGTTCAGTGCTCTGTCCGTGACACAAATATCAGAACTGTTCAGTGCTCCATTCGTGACCCAAAAATCAGCGCTGTTCAGTGCTCTGTTCGTGACACAGTGATCAACGCTGTTCAGTGCTCTGTCCGTGACACAAAAATCAGAACTGTTCAGTTCTCTGTCCGTGACACAAAAAAACAGAGCTGTTCAGTGCTCTGTCTGTGATATGGAAAACAGAACTGTTCAGTGTTCTATCTGTGATATAAAAATCAGAACTGTTTAGTGCTGTTTCCGTGACATCTCATGTCTTCCCCATCCCTCCTCGGCAAAGTGATTGTACTCACTCACTGTTTCCACGAATCGTCAACAACTATAGAAAAGTACAGTTACTTAAATTGAAAATACCTAATGTTGTTCAAGAGACCTGAGTTCAGAAATACTACAGCGTAAGTAGAAGTGCTAATTATTTCCTATCATTAGAACTTAACCATTTCTTGCTAGAAATGTTTATACCATAAATTACTGGCAGTAATAAGCACTTGATGTTTAGAGCAAATATTGCTATCAACGTATCCCCTGCTAGTAAAGAAAATTAACGGCCTTATTAATTAAACTGCTATTATAACGTAAAGTTATTAAATAATTAGATGCTTAAATAAATATTACCCTTCTTAGAAACCAGCTGTGAGCTTATATATGTGCATACTGTTAGATTACAAAATTGAAGTACATACTGGTGTTTTGAAATCAACACGAAAAGTTAACAACGGTGAATAAAAGGGCTAATAATGCGATACTAAAAACACAACGTTCAGTTAGTTTCTAAAAATTATATTTTAACTCTTTTAAACAAATATTTTTTGTGCGTTCTGCTGGAATTATTTTCATGATGTCCTAATAATTATCACCATACCTTATAGAATTTCCCGTCTGTTTATAAAAGGTGGATAATAACATGGTTTGGAGTAGTTTTCAGCCAAAGAGGCCCGGCATGGCCAGGTGGTTAGGGCGCTCGACTCGCAATCTGTGGGTCGCGGGTTCGAA